CCCATCCTTTTCAGGTGGGGCCACCATTGAAATATACATATAATCCCTCTAGATCAGCAGGTGGATTCAAACTGCATAGCTTTGGGTTGGCAGTGCAACACCTCCCCTCTAGGCCACCAGAACTCATCCAAACTGCCCCATCCAAATGTTTCTCTGTGCTGCCTGGGACAAATCTTTTCCAGGGGAGTGAAGATACGTCTCACAAGATCTAAGAAATATCAGGTGACAGACACCTGATTCACCAGTCATTCCTTTTTCAACAAATATTCACTGAATATCTACTGTGTCCCAGAGGGGGCAGTGGTGGTGCGGTGATGGAATTCTTACCTTTTGTGCAAGAGACCTGGGTTTGATTCCTGACCAGTGCGCCTCATGTGCAACCACTTCCTGTCAGTCCGTCAGTGGAGGTTTGCATGTTGCTAGCCTTAGTGGTTTGATGGCTTAGTGGTTAGGTAGTTGTGGTGCCAACCCAAAGGCACAGAGTTTGAATTCACCAGTTGCTCCATGGAAGAAAGATGAGTAATCTCCTCCTGTGTGATTTACGGTCTCTGAAACCCCACGAGACGGTCAGCTATGAGTCAGTTCAGACTCAATGGTATCTAACAACAATAACAACACGATGCTGAGTGGGTTTCAGACTAAGACAGACAAGGAGTAAAGGCCTGATTATATACTTCTAAAAATTAACCAGTGGAAAATCCTAGAGATCCCAATGGTCTGACTGGGCCACAGGGATCATTATGAGTGAGGGGCCAACTTGATGGCAGCCAACAGTGTGCCAACACTATGTGGATATCCAGAGTCTAGGACTGATTAACAGTGTAGTTTGACCTTAAGCAGCTACTAGGGGAATGTAAGGACAGAGTCGTCCAAGTTTCTGGTCTACCTCAAAGTCTCATTGCCCTCAAGTTGTAACCGACTCATAGCTGACTCAATGAGTTTCCAAGGCTATAAATCACAGGGGATTTGACAATGACTAAGAATGACAGATGATAAATTGATGCCTTTGAGCTGTAGTGTTGGGGAATTGCACTGAACATCCGATGGACAGTCCAAAGAACAAATAAATGTGTCTTGGAGAGGGTGCAGCCAGAGTGCTCTTTGGAGGCAAAGATGATGAGGCTTCTCCTCACAAACTGTGGGCATGTTGCTAAGAGGTGGTATTTCTTGGAGAAGGACATGATGCTAGGAAAGGTGAAGGGTCAGTGAAGGAGAAGAAGACCCTCAACCAAGTGGATTGACATAGTGACTGCTACAATGGGCTCTAATGTGTCAGAAGTGTGAGGATAGCACAGGATAGGACAGGGTACTGAGCTATTGTTCATAGGGTCGCTATGGTTCGTACTCAATTCGACGGCACCTAACAATAACAATATCCTCCTCTCCAAGTTAGTACTGTCACATAATGGAATATTATGTATTATTTAAAAACAACCATGCAAATCATGGATGACTCTAACAACAAATCACAGGGGAGGAGATTGCTCATCTTTCTCCTGTGCACTAGGTGACTCAAACCACCAGAGAGGTGCTGCCTTTGGGTTAGAAGTACAAATCTCTCCAGGGTGCGCGACCAGAGCTTCTGGACTGCCTAGGTGGGTCATTTTGAGTAGTAGCAGGTCTCACTTCACACTGGCATTAACTTCCCCTCGATACCACCTTTGGAGTGGTGGGACTGTATTCTTGGCAGGCGGCACCCAGAAGAGTTTTACCATGAGCCCTAGGGCTGTCCTCTCTGGCTCACTCCCCCGTGCAGAAGCGAAGGTCTGATTTGGCCTTGGGGAGCATGCTGGGCAGTGTAGCCTGACTGTGCGGTGTGGGGCTTTGCCAGCAGGCTTTGCTTCAAAATCCTAAGTCTCCTGCAGATACTAAAAAGAATTTGCAATCAACCTTTGAGGGAGAAGAGACTAATCAGGGCCACTGCAGATGATTATGCAGCTTGTGCACTCAGCCAAGGAGAGAAGAGGGCTGGAGAAAGCGGAAATTACCAAGCCATGCATTCACTGAGCAATCATAACCTGTTGGTGCTGTGTCCCTTTGAGTTGGAACCAACCCATAGCCCTCTGGCAGATTTTCAGAGGCTGTAAACTTCACAGGAGATTGCCCATCTTTCTCCTGTGTAGCAGCTGGTGAATTTTGACTCATGTGCCTTTGTGCTGGCAGTGCAATTCCTAATCACTAATCAAGTTTGATTCCAGCCCAGGACGACCTCAAGTGTGATTAGAATTGCTCCATCTTGGTTACCCCCCCCCCCGTTCTGACCTTTTGGAAGCAGATTACCAGGCCTTTTTCCCACCTTTAGGATGGTCTTGGCAATCACTTGTTATGCATCAGAGAGTTGGACAATGACCAGGGAGGATAGAAGGAGAATTGATGCCTTTGAGCTGTGGTGCTGGAGAAGAGTATTGAGAATACCATGGACTGCTAGGAAAACAAACGGATTTGTCCTGGAAAGGGTTAAACCGGGTGGCTCCTTGGAGGCAAGGATTCTGAGGCTTTTTCTAACATACTTTGGACATGTTGTGAGGAGAGACCGGTCCTTAGAGAGGGACATCATGCTTGGGAGGGTGGAGGGACAGCGCAGGAGAGGAAGGCCCTCTATGAGGTGGAATGATTCAGTGACTGGGATAATTGGGATGGGAGTGTCAGAGACAGTGCGATTGGCACAGGACAGAGCAGAGTTTAGGGCTGTTGTACATAGGGTCGCTATGAGTCGCAGGCAACTCGACGGCACATAACAACAACAAACAACAACAGGATGGGTTTGGCCTGTCAACCTTTTGGCTAATAGTTCAGCACTTAGCCATCTGTGCCATGCTAGAGAGTGGGCATTTTTCTAATTCATCATCTTTGGGCAAGGTAGTGGTGGGGAGGGAGAGAATTTGCTCAAAGACGCTGCATAGGCTAGGGAGGGGCTTGCATTTATTGGAAGGAAGAGAGTAGGAGAACAATTTCTCACCATGAGCTAATTCTCCACCAAGTCAGAAAGTGTGATAATCTGTCTGGGGTTGGGTTGTTTCTATTCTATCCAAGTCATCCTTCCTACTTGCCTCAATAACACACCAAACACAGTCATAAGGGCTTTGACAGTCCTACAAGGTACTCAGGTAAGGCTTTGAGGTCACCAGACATGTTTCAGTAGTAGAGACTTCATTTTCCAATCTCAGCCTGATATCCCAAACCAAAGCCACTGCCACCCAGTCAATTCTGACTGACAGTGACCTAATAGGACAAACAGAACTGCCTCGCAGTGTTTCCAGGCCTGTAATCTTTACTGAAGCCGATTGTCACTACTTGCTCCTGCAGAACAGCTGGAGGGTTCAAACTGCTGACCTTGTGGTTAGCAGATTAATACCTAACCACTGTTCCACCAGGTCTCCTCGCCAATCAGGCTTAAAACCCTGAAGCCCAGACGATCTGGTCTGTGTGCTCCTAAACCTTGTCCTGTTCAACTCTGCAGCCACAGCCATGGTGGTCGGGTGAGTCAGAGACCTTGGGGTTAAGAGAAAGGAGTAGAATGACAGGCAGACAGCTTCTTAGAGGCACGAAGGTTGAGGAGATGGGAGAAGTAGGGTTCTCACTTTCCATCATGCATCAGGGCCCAGGCGCTTCAGAGCAGAGGACTCAAGAGGCCGTCACCAAGCAACAACCCAAGGACAAAAAGACGTACCGTGAAACCTTGCTGGGATAATAAGATGAATAGATTTATTCATTCTTGTTTGAAAAACAAGACATAAAGTGGTATATATATATATAATTTATATATTTTATGTTGTATATATACTATATACAGACATTAGAAAATGTTCTCCTCTCCGTGAGGCTGAGGGAGAGGTGAAGGATGGTGGTGGGATGACGCGGGTGGGGAGCTGAGTGGCAAACGGACAGGATCAAGAAGTTGGGAGAGGAGGAAGACCACATCAGCATGCTGGCTGGCAGTGGTCATGGGGGGAAGGATTTCCCCACTGGCTGCATCTCTGGCCCATTAAACAACTTGGTCCTGTAGGATGTGAGGCAAGGAGAAGGGGGGCTAGCTTCTGTAGAAGGAGCTCCTCTCATCCTTGCCAGGAGTAGTCAGCACTCAGATGGGCTGTATTGCACTTGGGGGGGGGTAGATGGAGGGGGAGTATACCAGGGATGGGTGGAGGGTGAGGGTTAAAGCACAGTGTACGATTTTTTTAAATATAAAACTCACAGAAGAATGAGAGAGTTTACATGGCCTCTCACTGAAGGATGAGAGAGAGGCAGACGCAAGGGGATGAGTGTGTGGGGACCTTGGGGTAATGGAGAGGTGAATGATAAGCAATCTATACAGAAGAAACATTGGCTTTCTTTGTTCCCTACAGTGGGATCATTGGTAGGGACTCCGTGTCTTCACTCCCAGCAACGTGGAGGGGTGGTGGGTGGGCAGCGGTGGCAGCAGTAGATGTGTGTCAAGGAGGATGCGAAACAGTGTGAATCCACCTTCCAGATTGCTCCGGAGAGGAGGAGAGAGGTGCAGGACTGCACCGGGTAAGGCGCTCAGCTCTTTTTCTTAGAGAGACAAATCCACAGGGTCAATACATAGCCAAAAGCATATACTCAGGATTAACATATCACGCTAGCTTCCAGAAGTTTAAGATATTAGTCATCGACACCCC